GTCCTTCTGTCCGTCCTTCTGTCTGTCCTTCTGTCCGTCCTTCTGTCCGTCCTTCTGTCTGTCTCTGTCAGAAGCCTCCTCTCTGTGTCTCGGATCAGTCTCGTCACCACAGACCGATGGACGCCAGATCCGAGGAGCGCGTTGGTTTCCTTCGGCTGCATCAGAAGGTGCTCTGCAGGAGACAGTGGCAGCCGCAGCCGGTCGGACACTCGTCCTGCTGGCGGAACCAGTCCATCATGTGACTGGTGTGTCCTCCGTGACCACAGCTCAGGCAGAAGTTGGAGGAGCCTCGTACGGCCACGTGACAGATGGCACACTGGAAGGTCAGACGCTTGCAGACGGCGCACTGCGTCCCACGAGCCTGACTGCGACAGTGACAGCAGTACACACCGAACTCTGCAGAGGAAACATTTCATTTACCATAAATTATTCTTATTATATTATTATTATGATATTATTAATGCTCCATGGTTGAACATGCAGATCAGAATCAGTGGTCAGTGTTGATCCTGAGACGCCTCATTATAACGTTGTAAAACTCGCAGGTGGAGGCTTCAGAGTCGTGCGTGAGCGTCAGGACATTAACGCACCGATTCCTTTGTGAGGTTCTGGGGGACAGGAAGCAAACTTTAGCACGTCAGCTCGTTTCTCTCTCAGACCCCAGCGGTACAAGATTTCACCGTAACACTTCTTAAAGTCGTCAAACTGCAGCGTGTTGGCCGGGTCCAGCAGTCTGCACAGGAAAAGGAAATGACATCACAGCGCTGTTAGTGAAACACCAGCTCTGCCTTCGCCCTCTGTGAAGATGAACGTCTGTCTGACCAGGAGGTGGCGCTACGTCACCTCTTGTTCATGTCGTGCTGCTCTCGCTCTCGTTCCCGGGGATCTGTGTACCCCGTGTTTGCATAGCGACAGTCGTCAGGGGAGGATTCACCCCAGGGGTTGACGTGCTCCGAGTCTCGGGCTGAAAATGAAGAAGAACTCAGACACGGTTCTGACTCTGTGTGCATCTCGAGCTGTTGGCCTGAGCGTGGCGCTGTGGAGGCTCACCTGGGTTCCATGTGGTTGCAGTGATGGAGTCGGAGGTGCTGGAGCAGGAGCCGGAGTTGACGGAGCTGGAGGTGAAGCTGGGCTGTGACGACAACACACACTTTTACGTCACTTCCTGTGGGAACAAAGTGTGGAGTCCTGCTACCGCCCCCTCAGAGGCTGCAGGGCGTCAGAGAACTCGTGCTAAGCTAGGCTAAACACGAGAGATGAAATGGACAAGGACGACAGACTTACGTATCGTGAGTGGTGGGGGGGGAACATGGCGGAGCGTGGCGGTTGGTGTCCGTACAGAGAGTAACAGTCTGGAGGCGGAGCCTGTGTTCTGCACACGCTGCACAGCATCGCCAGCGTCTGAACGTCACTCATCCGACTGTAGTGATCCAGACTGAGAGGATCGACACAGAGTTTAGTTTGACGTAAAAACTCACTGAGTCCAGATTTAATGCCGACGATCTCGACGTTTCAGATTCTCTTTCCACCGGAGGAAATATTATCTGTAGCTGCAGGACCGACCAGCGAAACCTCAGCTCGTCGTGTTTCAAATAAACAAACTCACAGAGTCTCCAGCAGGTGGCGTCCAAACGGATGTCTGGCCCATGGCGTCTCGGTGTCCGGGTCTGAATCAGGACTCAGGTCCTGGTTGGTCGCTGCAGACGCCAGAGCCCACACCTACAAAAACCCGGACTGTGACTGACGGAAGAATTCAAACTATACGAGACGTTTCTAATGCAGAGAAAACTTTAAGGAATTTTCAGCTTCTAAACTTCCAGTTACTTTTTCTCCACCAGTTGAATTTTATCCCATGTTTGCAGAAGTTTGTTTTTTCATCAGGGGGAAAGAAAAGAATTTAGGTTTTAAATCTCTCACCTTGGCCACGTCTCTGCGTCCAGCTGTGAGCGCCGACGCTGCATTCTTCTGACACGTTTCCTGGATGTCGTTCACGTTCAGACTGAAGAGAGAAAACATCCGACGTAAATGAGTAAAACATGAAATCACACACAAAGCTGAGACACCAAACAAGCTGTCAACTCATCCGCCGGTTTGTGAGCGCACGTTTTGAAGCCTCAGTTTGACATTTTGTTCGGCGCCATCTTGGTTTTTTTAAAACCAGAAGTAACCATATTTGGAGGAGTGAGGGGTGGAGCCTGAGTCAGAGCTTGACTCTAAATGACCTTCATTGATAAATGAACATCAGCTGTTGACATGAAACTAGAGACAGAGACAAAAACTCCTGAGGACAAAGTTTACAGACGTTATAAATTGAGAAGTGAAGACATTGTCTATAAAAAAACTACCTGTGGAGTCGCCCCCTGTTGGTCATTACAGAGAATACAGGTTTCAGGCACTTTGACTTCACTGTTTTTCTAAGAGTCTATGAGTGCGACAGAAATCTGAAAACCCTGACGACACATAGACCGATAGAGATTACTGTTGTTTTTAATCTTATTCTCACAGATCGTCTTTGGGCTGAACAATATTCAACAACACACAATTTCCTCAATTAATCAATTTATCATTTGATCTAAAAAATGTCAGCACAAAGTAAAAAGGTCTCGGTAACTTCTCTCAGTCTGAGTGTGATCACATCGTCAGAGAAAACTGAGAAGTTACAATTAATCAATGATGAAAAGTCATTGTATGGTGAAATATCAGATTATGGATAAATTGCTTGATTGATTGATTGATTGATTGTTCAGGTGTGGGTCATGTGGTCGCTCACATGTAGCTCTCTCCCAGAGCTTTGTGGACGGCCAGCAGACAGGAGATCTCCTGGATGATGACTTTCCCAGCCAGTTTAATGGGACGGTTGCCGTAGTCCGTCCCCTCGCGCTTCGTCTTGAACCGGCGGGATTTCTGATGGACGGATAAAGAGACGGGTGGAGGGAGGAGGGAGGAGGGAGAGCAGGTTCGGAGAAGAATAAAGCACCACCTGATTAAAAGTGGCGTGACGACAAATTACGGACAGAAACTGTTCACACTGAGACGCTGACTGACGGCGACGAGGACGGATTGTTCAGCTGTGACTCTGAATCTACGGCGGCCCTGAGAGCTCAACACAACGCAGCACAACTTACACAACAATGTGAGAAGCGTCTGAGTTACTTTAACTCAAAGTTCATTTTCAACACTTTCAAAAAGGATTTGAGAACATTCCAAACGATGAGATCGGGCAGAACCGCTGTTTGACTGGTTTGTCAAACTGTGGCTCTGGACCCGCCTGTGGACGCTTGGTGTCAGTCCGTGTCTGAGTGCGAACACACGGTTAGGTTTTAGTTCATTAACAAGAATATGGAGCCGAATTATCTTAAACCAGTGAAGTTAAAACAAACTGAAAGGCGACGATCACAGAAACACAGAAACTTACCTGCAGAGGTTAAAGGTTAGTGAATGTCAGGAGGCAGAGCCGAGACACTTACGTGTACCTGCTGTCAACAGTATGTCCTGGATGATGCTAAGCTAACAGTGGAGATGCTACAGGAGCCTTTGACTGCGTATGAAAACTCGTTCCACTGACAACATTGATTGATTGATTGATTTTATCTGGTTCATCTGAACAAAACCAGTTTTCAAATTTCTGTTACAGCTAAAAAAAAAGCTGCTCTGTTGCAGCTTGATTGAATCTCAGGGACTTTTGATCGAGGTATGAGATCTACTGAGTTTAGAGAGTTTAGCTTCAGACGTATGTTTAGTTCACCGATGCGTCCGACTCTGATTCTAAGCGGCAGAGCAGATGTAATGACGTCACACAGATTAACACGTAAGTTCACTGTGTCCTGGCCTGTGTTAGTCAGAGGGATGTCAGCCAATCAGTGACATGCAAACAACACGTTAGAATCCCAACGCTGTGATGAGAGGAACCCAGAGAGGTGAAAGGACAGAGGGGTGAGCTGGTGGTGTGATGGAGGGACAGGGGCTCAGTACCGGCCAATCGTGGAGGGTTTGGACAGACCAGCGGCGGGAGGCAGAGATTGGAAGCTTCTGATTGGAGGAGAGTGAGAAGGAGGAGTGGCCCACAACAGCATGGGGACAGGTGATTGGTCAGAGGGAAAAAAAAGTATAAGTGAAAATAAAACAAGGCGTCAGGGAGAGAGAGACGAGACGTTCACACAGAAACACCAGGTTTCAGCATCTGAAGAAAATCGCTCCACATTCCCAGGTCGCCTGAACTACTCGTCGGCTCGGTATTTCCTGGGAATGTGGACGTGAAGGACACAGAACTTCACATGATGACTGGGTCTGAAAACCACAACCTTCTTTGGGTACGGAAGTAATTTCATGATAAATACCCGAGTGACAACAAAACTAATTCAGTCATGTGTGAACGAGTTATTTAATCCCTCAGCTCTAAACACGTGTTTTTCAGGCTTCAACTGAGAACGTCCATGACACTTTAAGAATAATGTTCACATCGCACAAAAACACACTACTGGTTGATCTGCGTCACATGACTGCGTCACATGACTCTGCAGTAGCTCCAGGTATTAATCGGCTCCAGATAAAGTCTGAGGTCTTTTCATCGATATTTGTTTCTGCATTCATGTTTGTTTATTTTACTGAATAATAAACAATACAGAAAAGAGAAATTCAGTTCATTGACAAACTAAATGAACCATT